GTTCATCAGAAGTACTGCTAGTAGAATCTTCAAGAATATCTAATGGAGTGAAATTAATGACATACTGTTTTGAGCCTGATGACTTTTCACAGTTCTTTAAATAAACAGGTAGATCATAATCATGACTTTCCAACTTAGTGGGCCGTGTGCCACTCCTAACCACAAATCCATTTTTGCAGGGGTGCAAAACTGGGTAATTTTGCTTCTTTTTTTCATTGTAGCAAAGGTTACAATTTTCAGTATCAGAATATATATTTTTGGAGTTAGTCTTAGTTCCAGATCTCTCATATTGCCTTCTTTCACTGTCTTTAAAATGACTGTATAAGGGTGTTTTTTTCCTTCTCCTATCTATTGTATCATATTTCTGAGGATATCTGGAAAAAACAGATGTTTCAAACTTAAGGTCAGTAGAGAATTCTGGTTGTTGGCTCTGAGATGGTGTCTTTTTCCAATTCTTGTACTTTGGTTCTTTGTGTTGGCTGTAGTATTTATGAGCTTTTGTAAGGGTTCTAATTTCTTTTACCTCTGCTTCCTTCAAGTTTATGTTACTATTTTCTAGAAACTCTTGTGGTATTTTCCCCTTTATCCCCTCATATATATCTTCTTGCTCTTCATAGTCAACATCAGAGAAAGCTGAAATAATCCTAATTTTGTCATTTTTAGTCTTTGAGCCTTGTCTGATTAAGTGGACAAAATTGAGGAACAGTCAGGCAAAGAAAGAGGGAGAGACAGGGAAAAGGAAGAAAGATTTAGCGCATGTTCAATGAGAAGATTAGAATAGTAAAATTACAAATTTGATAAAAATCATTCAGAATAAAAAAATGTAAAAAGGAAATTCACATGTTCTTAAATCAATATTCTATCAATGTAGCCAAATAGTTTTTTCCACATCAGAAAAAGAACAGCTATAACAACAATTTTTAAATGCTTCAACTGTAACCATGTCATTGGTGAGCTTTTCAAGATTCTTTAATTTTCTAAGAAACAAAAAGGGAAACATGTTTTGTCAATATCTAGAAGGAATTTGCATTGCCAAAGTTTAGAACTGTTAAGTATACCATGAAAATACACCAAGGGATTTCAAGAAATATAAATTTGTTGATGAATTTGAGTCAAAAAAGAAGCCAAGTAGTTAATTTGCTGAAAGTTATATTTGAGGCCAAGAATATGGTCAAACATATTTCTTTTAATACGAAAAAATATATACATAATAAAATAGTTTTAGACTATCAGCAGAATTCAAACATTGTTACATTACCAAAAAGAGTAAATTACTTAAAAGCATTATAATTTATTGTTTTTGAAATTAAAGGCTATATGCATTAAGAATCACAGTGAAAAGAAAATCTTTCCCTATACTGATTACGACAGCAGAAGCTGCATGTCCAACTTAAATCAATGAATACAAAAGATAGCAGACTTTTCTTTCAGTTAGGTTAGAGACTGCCTGCTTCCTGTGTACTGAGGTAGGGGTGGAGTCTGTCAGCTCAGCATGTTCCTTTTTAGATCTAATATCCAACAGCATTTATTTAGAAAACAGAACCAAGATCTAAGTCGTTACTAAAAATCTTCTAGGGTAAGACTGCTATGCTCCTGACTGCTCTTCAACACTAGAAACACTTTGGCTGTATAATATTCTAACAAAATCCAAGCCTGTTGGCAAATCTCAAATTATGCAAAAATTCTGTTATTCTGGACTCATTAGGCAAAAGCCCATTTGATTGAGTTAGGAAATCCAACTTAACACATTTTTTACATCTAGTTTCATTGCTCTCCACTATTCCCCAAAAATTCAAACTAAACTCCAGCCTGGAAGAGGTCATTATAGTTCCAATGGCTATAGTGAACGTAGCTATTTATTTTTACACTTCTGTATTTACTGGAAAGTACACTTAAACACATTTATTGCCTTAAGATGTTAACTTTCTTCCTAAAAAGCTATAAAATTTAAGGATTTAGACTATTTCCATGAACTAGGTGTGAGCAACAGGAAAGTTTAAAAATCAATGCTAGTGATATAATCTCTTCAAACTTTCACAGTTTGAAGAGAAATCATCTCAAAATATTAACTTAAAAATGTCTGTAAGAAAAGGTTTACTTAAGAATCATGTTAACTTTTCCTCTGCTTGAGATGATAAAATATTTACTTTTAAATCTCATTTTATATACCGATATGGTAAAATTTAACTTACATGAGAACATTAAAGAAAAATTTTAGGAAAAAACATATAACTTAAAGAACATCACTAATGCTGCTCTAAGTGTTATTTATTATAGCAGGAACACAGGAAATACCAAAAAAATAATAAGGTAACGATTAGTAAATTAGTTTTTCCAAATAGAAGAGTATACAGTTGTTTAGGTTGATGTGCCATTATTATTGCTACCCTATACATCTAATGCTTGCAAACACAGAGGTGGGAAACCGTTCGAAAGAACTTTTTTTTTTTTTGCTATTATGTTTCTTTCTTAAAGTAGAGCAACATAAACAACTGAAATCAAATATTTAATAAATAAAATATGCAAGCATTCAATTAATAAACCAGCAAGGAGTAGGCACCAACTTCAGTAGGATTCTTGGCATGTTTCTCTTTAGAATCAGATTATGAAGAGAATGCTGTGCTATGGTTGATACATAAAATTTCACTGAAAATATTTTCAGAGATAATAGTAAACTGGGTCAGGATATTGTCAGGAGGTAGATAGCCATCTGAGGCTCTGCATAAAAATTCACCAATGTAGTAGCTTGGTGAGGTGGGCAAAAAAATGAGATCATCCTATGGTCTATTAAATTTTAGAAACTAAAAGTATAAGCTAAATTGCAATGGTTTTCAAAAAACTGACCTTCGATCAATGAAATAACTGATTCAGGAAAGAATTAATGGATGCTTAAATCATTGGGTAAAAGGTTGTTAAGGAAACAGGATATTGATA